ATGCTGGTTCTGTCGAACCTTGCCAGGCTTGTGATGTCCCTGGCACGGCCATCCCGTCGTCCGCGGATCGTCTTCCGCGCATGGGAGAAGCCGGCTGTTGCTCATGTCGGAGTCGAGCACGGAGCGATGCCAATCTTTGAGCCAAAGAGCTCTGCCGGGATGATGGCATAGAAGACAACATAAACACTGCTGCAGGCTTGCTTGTTGTCTCATCAACAACTGTTGCATCAACTGTTTGTGAAAACCAATTGCAAACACTGTCAACTGACATGGTCTTCTCGGTGAGGTCCAATGAAACATGGTTTGTATGATGTGCACAAAGCTTCACTGCAAACCACGAAGGCTGGGGATCCTGGCTGTGGTAGATGAACATGTTGTTCTCGTAGGCGAGCACGGCTCCCAGCTGTCGAAGGGTCTTGCCTCCGAGAAGCGGTGGAGTGGCGCTCGCTTCACCACCGAGAACGTAGAAGCTCACACGGCCGATTGAGGTCCCACTCAAATCAACTCTGCTGGTGGCCTGTGCCTGTTGGCCATTGCCGAACTTGAAAACTGGGCGGTCCGTCAAACTAACTTCATGGGGGAGTTGAGACTGTTCCAAAAGGGTGGCCAATGCTGAAGCTCCGACGGCATTCTCCGATGCCCCAGTGTCTACTATCACCCGTGTTCCAGTGGTGGTGTTCAGATAGATGGAGGGATCAATGGTGATGGAGTGGAACTGAACTGATTTGCCCTTTCCTGAACCAGAAAACTTCCCCTTGGACTTCCCCTTGAACTTGCCACCACCTTTGCCCTTCGCCCCAAAGCCCTTTCCACTGCGGCCGCCAGCAAAGCGGTCAGGACAATCCCGATAGCTGTGGCCGTTCATGCCGCAGATGAAGCATGGTCCAAAACCTGTCTTTCCCTTTCCAGCTCCGATGCTCTTCGAGCCCTTGGGGGAACCGGACTTGGAGGAAACGGAGGACCCCTTGCCAGTCATCGACTCTGGCGAGAAATAACCACGGGCTTGGCGAACTCGGCGAACTGCATCTCTTGCTTCTGCAAGTGTTTTGTTGGCTTCGCCGGCTAAGGCGTAGGCCTCGCGAAGCTGGGCTTCTGCTGGATCTTGGTCACCATCTTCGGCGGCCTCATCAAGATCGGGCCATTCGGCCTCGTCCCAATCATCTCCAGTCCACTCAGCCCAATAGGACTCTTCGTCCTCCTCTGCATACCATGTTGCATGCCCTGGATCGTAGGCATCCCAACATTGCCAAGCGTCATCCACTGTATCCCAACTCTGTTGATCATCTGTCCACCAAATGCGAGGTCGTCGACCCCAGGAGTGACCTGATTCATCCTCCTCTGCAAACAATGTTCTGAGAGCCCTTCGTACTTGCAAAAAGCTTGTACTGTTGCTTGTTTGAGTCAATATGTTTTGTTTCTCAGAACTTGTCAACTTTGCAGCCTTCAACAACCTGTAACCGCGCAACTCGTCTTCAAAGAAATCTGGTGAATATGCAGCCTTTGGAATGGCTGCCGTATCCGGTTGCGTCTCCGAATCCGGTTGGGTGAATCGCAAACCAGCCATGGGGCTTTGAGAAGGTGTCGATGGAGGGCCACGAGTGGGCAGTTCTGTGATCAACGGGGTCACTATACCCTTGTCCTCCCTAGCACGTGTCAAAGCCGCCTGCAACTGGGTGAAAAGATCTTCCTCCCGCACAAGCATCTGAGGAATCGACTCTCCAGCCAATCGACGCAGCTGATGCCAAGCATCCAACCTCCGGAAACTGTCGCTGATCGGAAGGGCCTGCAATGGGGACTTGCGAAGAACCTCCAATAGGCGGGTCAGACCATCTGAATCCTCGAAGTCATCGGGGTTGAGGTTGCGGACAACTGATTTTGCAGGGCCAGTCAACCTAGACCAAACACGCGACGCTGCCAGCTTCCTCTCTGGCTCTTTGAGTCCCTTTTCATACCAACGGCACGAGGTGTAGAATGCTTCGAAATCAACAGGGTCTCCAGACCAGGTAGG